TTAATCACTCTTTGGGTGAAGTACTTCCTTTTATCCGTTCTAACCTGACTGCTCAGCAATCTCATTGAGTGCCCACGAGTTCTTGTATTGTGAGAAAGGGAGAAAAGTACCTCTTTCTCTACCTGCTCTATCCCATGCATAATCTTATAAACCTTGACCATGTCACCCTTCAGTCGTCGTTTCTCCAAGCTAAAGAGCCCTAAGTGCTTTAACCTTTCCTCATAGGGAAAGTGTTCCAACCCTTTTATCATTCGAGTTGCCCTTTTCTGCACTTTTTCCAAGCTATAATATCCTTTTTAAGGCATGGTGACCAGAATTGCACACAGTATTCCAAAGGAGGTCGCACCATTGATTTATATATGGGCATTATGATATTGGCTGATCTGTTTTCAATACCCTTCCTAATAATCCCCAGCATAGCATTGGCCTTTTTTATTGCAGTCACACACTGTCATGAGACAGCTCATCAGGGAACAGGGTTGTGGAAAAAAACCTTTCCAGCTGTGCTAGTTTCCTTTCTCCCATTGTGTAGCCATGACATTACACCACCACCTAAGAACTAAGCCACAGTCTCCTACTTAGGGTTACCAGCTTCCAGGTGGGCCTTGGTAGGGTTGCCAAGTCCTACCTTGTCTTTAGTGGGGGGGGGGGGGGGTCCCAGCCCCCCCCGGGGGTTTTTCAGGGCGCGCAAAGTGGCGGTGCCCCGCTGATGTAACCAATTTGCCTTAGCAACGAGGAAAATCAGAATGAGTTTAGTATTTAACACAAAGAAGAAGTAGTATAGTACTGATATTTTTCTATTATCTACATTACCATTTTATGACCTGATGTATTATGTTATGGCCTATGGCTAAGACAATAAACTTATACTTCTGCTCCTACCTTATCTTTAGCGGGGGGAGTCCCAGCCCTCCCCGGGAGTTTTTCAGGGCGCGCAAAGTGCGCGTGCCACGATGATGTCACCCAGAAGTGACGTCATCGCGTCAGGCACATTGGGGGTGGGGCCACTATCATTCGAGGGAAAACCATACTGTTTTCCCTTGAATGATAGAGCATCCCCCTGCAATGTGCCCGATGCAATGACGTCACCCCCAAGTGACATCATCATGCCGGGCACGTCTCCGTGCTCGCGGCACTTTGGAGGTGGGGTTCCCCCCAGTGGCCCGATCCGGGACAACGGGGAACGGACCCATCGAGCAGGGGTTTCCCCGCCCCTAACAACCCTAGGTCTTGGAGATCACCTGGAATTACCACTGATCTCCAGACTAGAGATCAGTTCCCCTAGAAAAAATGGCTGTTTTGGAAGGCAGTCTATGGCATTATACCTTACTGAGGTCCCTTGCTTCCTCAAGCTCCAATCCCACATCTCCAAGGATTTTCCAGTTCAGCATGCTCCAACGCAAGCCCAGCTTGATCACATGGGAACCTCTATATTATGTAAACTGGCCTTGTGAGAGATATCCTGGGGTACTTGCTAGAGTGAGAGTACAGTCATGACATGAGCATGATTCTCTAGCATGCTTGCTAGCCCTACATTTGCTTACCCATGTCAGCCAAGTCCACTGCTTTGGATCTCTTCAGTGCTCCAAGTGGCTTGTAGCTGAGCTCATGGTTTTTGCTGTATGATCTGCAGGATGGCTTTAAGCTGAGAAGAGTGACACAGAATTCATTTTACAGTTCCTCAACTCTTAAAACACTGGAGGGTTTTTAGGTTCAGCAAAATCAGCTCTGTCTTCTCATGTTGGTTCATTCTAAATTTATGCCAGTTCAAAGACATGCAACAGAAAAGAGGCACCACCCTCCTGAAATAACCAGAATTACTCTGCCAGCCTTAAAGCAGGAGGCAGGAAAGTATTCAACCCCAGAGAAGCTGGAAAAAATCACAGTGTGGTCCTTCCCTCCTTAAAGTGACAAAAACTTTGGCATTAACATGAGGAAGTAGCCTTTTAAGGACAGTAGCAACAATATGTTGCTGTGCTGCTCAGAGATATGTTTCCAACACCCCACTTTCAATTATTAAAAGCAAAAATGGGCTGGGACCAGACTCCATTCCAATGGTAGGAGACTCATTTGGCAGAGACAAACCTTTGAGCCTTACCCAATGCCTCAAAAATGCAGGCTAATTTTAATGGCTGGTAGCCAGCAACAGGATACATAACTGAGAAACTGTTTATAAAAGGCTCCCTGAGGATATTAGGGCCCTGCGGAACTTATTACAGTTCCGCAGGTCCTGCAAGACGGAGCTCTTCCACCAGGCATTCAATTGAGCTGCCATATTTAAGAACTATTATAACATCTGAGCCTTGCCCTGTAAGCCATCATTGGCTATTGTACTGTGCTGATGCCCATTATTGGGGCCGGATAGTGGTCTGTAACCATTCTGTCCAGACACCTGTATGGTTAATGTTTAAAAATTTTATTGCACCGTCTTATTTGTAATGTTTACGCATAGCACCTTAAAATTGTTTTAATAATTTTAATGTAAGCCACCCTGAGCCTGCCTCAGCGGGGAGGGGAGGGTTTAAATGTAATACATAAATAAATAAAATAGTTACCAGTAAATGCATCAACAGGGTCAAGAGATGGACAAAGATACTTACATTTCTATCACTTTGTCCTCAGTTGTCCCCACTGGAATTACATTGGGATACACATTCACTGGCCGAATGTAGTTCAGAAAGTCCTGGATCTAGGAAAAAGGGGGCAGGGGTCACTAATTGGTCATCACTAAGTGGGCTTTAATGAGATCTCATTTCACTATGGTTTACAACAAGCTGCATGAATCAAGTAATTATTCCCCTTTTACGAAGAACAGAGAATAATGTTCGGAAAGGCCAGTGAGTTTGTGACTCAGATGACAGTGATCCAACTCCCAACGGTACCCTTGACAACCCCCTACCCTGCCCCGCTCTCAGTCATGACATCACCACCTGCATGCACACAAACATCTGCAAACAGAGCTCATGCCACCAAGGGTGCCAAATTCACTTCAGTGAAAGCAATGTGGGAGGCAACGGAGCTCCATGTTCTGGCTGTCCAGACAGATGTGCTTAAGACATACACACACCACTCCTTTAGAACTTTACTATCACTTACGAAGTTCCACATCTGTGGTAAAGCCAGTAGGATATCAAGGGTGCCTTACTACAAGGATGCCTTGAATGAAGGTGTAATGATTCCTTGTTTGAGTGTGTGTGTGTCTCTTTAAAAGTTTGGTTGCATGGCTGTGGTAGGCAGACTAGAGTGGTTGAGAGATGCAAGTATGGTATGATTGGTGGTTGACAGAGAGGGGGAGGGGTTTTGGAAGTGAATCTGGGTGGATGCGTATGTGTGTCAGTCAGGAGTTGAGGTTACAAGTTGACAGTTGGTGTGTGCAGGCTGTTCTGTTGGGAGTCAGTTAGAAGTTGACAGTTTAGGTTGGTCAGATATAAAGAGAAAGAGAGCTGAGTGTAAAGGAAAAATTCAAGGAAAGCTTAACTGAAGAAAAGTTATAGGAGAGTCTGGGTGTCATAACAAACTGGAGTGAAACAGTGAACATATATGATATTGAGATAAAACAATTGTTACAATCTTACAAGAAAAGATCCCTGTCAGAGAGGGATAAGATTGTGTGTGATACCAAATCAGTTGTTCATCATTTTCATATTCCTAGTTACATTTTAACCACCCACTTATGTAATACTTATTTCAATAAACTTGGATGAAAGAGGATTCTCTTTCATCCAAGTTTATACCAGCTCTGAATGGAATACTTCCCAGGACCACATAGTTCCCCGTAAGCCTTGAACTCGGTGTACAAAATTAGTAAGAACAACAGTAAAAGCATAAAGGTTTGGAATTCATTAAAATTCCTGGTGGCAGCAGAATATACCCGGTTAAACAAAATAAAGAGCACTTTTAAAGGGAAACTAGTCCTTCCCAATAAGGAGGGCATTACAGAAGGATACAACCTATGCTCTTGATAGGCATTGATACTCAGCTGCCCATCACAATACATGCCTTGGGAAGGCCAGTGAACAGGATCAGCCCTCAGGCTATTCTGGGTGCCTTTAAATCAACAAGCTAGTAGTTTTTTGCATACCTGGGAAGCCCCCTCTCTCCAATTACTACTCTGTCAGTCCCCTACTGACACACTCAGGTTTGCTCTTTGGAGTGATACACCAACGTACCTCACTGTAAGAAGAGTGGAATGAAAAGCAAGCTCTGTATGAACTCTCCCCAGTCCTAAACAGAAAAATAAACAAATGGTATTTTCCCCTGATACTTACAAATATGTGAGTAGAAATGGCAAATCATACATTTTAAAACTATTAAAAAAGCACTCAGCACTTCCTCAGGCGTATGAGCCCTCCACACGAACACTAGAATTCACCCAACAAAGGGCAACAGATTAAATGGAATTTCCTCCTTTGAAAGAAAAAGGAACGAAATGCAGAGGAGAGATTTCCCAATGGCTATTAGCCATAACTGCTAAACAGAACCTCCATGTTCAGAGGCAGTATATCTCAGATTACCAGGTACTAAAACACAACAAGGGATGGCCCGTCTATCATGCCTTGTTTGTGATTTTCCAGATGCATCTGGCAGACTGTTGGGAGAAGGGTCCTTACAGTGATCCCTTAAAAAACCCTGCTTTCCTGGATCAGATAAAGGATGGTGAAGATGGTGAAGCAAGCTGTACAAAGGATCGGCAAGGTAATGTTCATGTAGCTCTACAGAATTACTGTACACACAAACTCTATATTATACACACACAAATATAAAGAAAAAAGCAAGCGTGCTTTCATTCACCTGGCTATTACATTTGTCTTCCTTGTTCTTTCTCCAAACCACATTGTCGACGGCTTGATGCTGATGATGTGCAGGCGCCTCCCATCCCGGGAAATCATCCCACAGGGCAGCCTGTTCCCTCGAAACAATTCGTCATCCTGTTGGGCACAGAAACACAGATCAAGCATGAGCCTGTTCCTTGCAAAACTCAGGAAAATGCTCTGCCAATCCCACAGGCTTGTAAAGACAAGATCAGCTTTCCACATGTCTTCCTCTCTTGTGGCTGAACAAAAAAAAAATACCCCCCCCCCCCCCCATACTGGTTGCCTTCTGTACAAGCATAGCCAAAAATTCCCGTATGTACACTCGGCTGTACTCTAGTTTCTCTGCTCCACTGAGTCGTATTGTGGACTCAGATAAGTGTATGTTCGGTAGCTACCAAAGGCTGCTTTTTTATTCCTAAAAGTAGGATTTTTGCCCTCCACTTGATAGGTGTAAGCATGCTGATTTTCACTGCATTGGAAAGCACTCATGATAAAATGTTGGCTGGTGAATTACTTAGATAATTGATCTCAGAGAAAGAGACTGGAGGGGGGAGGAGAGAAGATGGCCCCCAACAGCAAAATTCATAGTAAAAAAAATACCATTCCAAAAACATACAAGTAGTAAAAAGTGCAAAAATCTAACAGCACCTAAAAAATGGGTCCTGGCTCCTGTTGAACAGGGCAGGAAGGAGGTCTACTTTCCTCGTGTGCGTGGGTCCCACCAGCTCTTATTGTCTTCGGTCCTAATCACAGGCCTCCTGGGGCCATTTCTAGGTGGACTTGAGTGCACCACCACATCCCAACCTGAACTGCCTGGAAGGAAGACAAGGGCAGGAGAGAGACTTGGAGAGATGAGAGAGAACCGGAAACATACCCCTTATGAGTGGATTCAGGTCTCTCCCTCTCCCTCCAGCCAAGCTGATGCCTACAAGCAGTCCATTATAATAATAATAATCTCTATTGCATTAGCAAAAAAGCCATAGCAACAGAACAAGATAAAACCATGTGACCAACACTAGATTCAAGCGGATAATAACAAATCAATCATTTGTACGAAATGGGGGGGAACACTTAAATGTATCCAATTAGTATATACACGATCGACAGTTATCAGCAGTAGGCTAGCTGAACTCAGGGAAATTTGTTTTCCTGAGAATTTGTTTCCTAAGAAGGAAGCCACTATCACGGTGGTTTGATTGTCAGAGGAATTATCAGACAATAACACTGAAACTACCCAAGGAAGGAAGGGTAGCTTTTCTTTCCTCATAACAGGCATGATATATCTCTCTCTTTCCTTATTCCACTTAGGGCAGAAAAGCATTATATGATCCATGGTTTCTATCATCTCTTGTCCGCAGTCACAAACCCATTCCGAGAACGGAAGTCCCGAAAAACGACCAAAAAGCACCTTAGAGGGAAAGGAATTAAGTCTCGCCAAACTGTCTATTTATGTTATGTTTTCTCCCCCACCCTTCCTCCAGGGAACACTGGGCTGCATACGATGGCTCTCCCTTCTTAATGTTATCTTTACGAAACAACCTAGTGAGGTAGGCTCAACTCAGTGAGCATCAGAGATAAACACGAATAGCTCCTGCATGTTGTCAGATGCCAGTGCTATCGATACCTCTGCCAAACCTGGAACAAACATGGCCTGGGGTGCTCACTATTGTTCACAGGCTGCCCCCTCCGCTTCCAGGCTTGATTCATGATGCCGGTGAGCACCTTCAAGGCCCTGCATGTCATGGGGGATCTTCTCTTTGTGCCTCAAGATCATCTGAGCCTTCTTTGCTCCAAGTCCCCGCTTCTTCTCCAATGGAAACAGCTAGGGCAGAGGTGTCAGACTCATTTGTCACGAGGACCAGATCTGACATAAGTGTCCTTTGGTCAGGCCAGGCCACATGTGACGTAAAATGTCAATGCCAGGTACCAGAGATATTTTACCAATGGCTGTGACCATACCCCTCCTCAGCAGAGCTCAGGGACAAACCAGCCCTCCTCATCCCTTATGGTTGCCAACTCTGAGCTAGGGTTTGGAGAGGGGTTTTCCAGTGGTGGCATCTACGGGATGGAATGCCCATCATTCAACCCCTTTCTTCAAGAGCTTAAGACCTAGCCCCTTAGGAAAGCATCTGCAATTAAGCATCGTAACAGCACTTTTAAATTTTCATTTAAAAAGTACTTCTACCTTGCCTTTCTCTTGCGATGAAATAAAGTACACAATGGTAGCTTTTCACAATGGGCTCATTTGGGTTTTCAGTATCTACCATGTCAATTTTGTAATCATGTTCTAGTTCATATTTCGTTTTATTTTCATGAGCACTGCTGTGAGTCACTCTAAAAACATCAGCTTTAGAAAAGCAGCCTACAACAAAAATATTTCATTTTTCAAAGTCACCTGCTCTAGCTTTGCTAAACCACAGGCCTTGTCCGATAGCCATAGATGATTTCATTCCTGAAGAAAAACTTTGCTTAGGACTTGGTTGTGATTTGGAGCCCCCAAGACAGGAACCTGATAGCAAAGACATACGCACCCGTGGATGGCGACAGGCATGGATCTGAGTGTGCCGATCCGAGGTCACATGGGAGATGATTTCGGGCATGTTTTTAAACATGTCCAATCTGTTCACATGTACCTAGAAATTTAAACTGTGTTATTATTGTTTAAAAGGGTCACATCTTCTTCCAGATGAATTTCCCCCTGAAGGACATTGGCTAACAGGAAAATACTTGGGCAAATATCGAGCAGCCAGGAGACAGAAATTAAAACACAGCAGCAGATGAGTGCTGAATAGCTACCAGTTCCACTTGTGCAAACTGCAGAAAGACAGGGTATAAATACCTAAACGGTAGTGGCCCTGCTTGCAGGCAGAAGATACTGTTTTTTGGGTTACTTCAAAGGGCCCAAGAGCTCCAAAAAACCTTAATTTCAGTCCACTGTTGTTCTTGCTCTATGAGCAGTCTTTTCCCCACACATTTTCTGCCTTGTTTTAATATTTATTTTATTTACTTCATTTATACCCTGCCTCTTAACCCAAAGGGCACCAAAAGTGGGTTACATCATTCTCCCCTCCTTCATGGAAGGTCAGGCTGAAAAAGAGTCAGTGGGCCAAGTCACCCCAGTGAGTGTCATGGCTGTGTGGATCACTCAAGGTCAGCAACCTCACTCTGACCCCAGACTGGCTCTCTGGCTGCTGCTTACCTATAACAGAATGATGCAATCTGTTGCCCTTAGAGCATTAGATTTTGTAATTTATTGTTTCAATTTTATTGCATGTCACTTGGGAGAACTGCAGCAGTGAAAAGATGCATATCAATGGGAAAAAATGAACTCTTGCAGAAAAGAAGCTCTTACCAAGCTCCTATATACTGTTCTAAAAAGGGAAGGGTGCAAACCTTTTGGTAGAAGAGAAGGAATTCCTTCCCAATATTAGTGGACAGTGTTTGCTCCAATGCATTTAGGTCTCTTCCTCGCCCTCCCAGCCCCTTCTTAATACATGGCTTTGCTCACTTTGACCTGCTTAGTTGTTTCTACCTGCAGATCTCTTCTTTACACACTTATACCACAGCTCCCCCACCCACTCATGCTTCACTTTCTTCACTTCTGCCCTCTCTATATATATAATCTGGAGGAGGTGTGCAAGTATGTAGATGCACCTCCAATGTGCAAGAGACTGGCCCTCTTTCAGTCTCTTCATATGGGTCTTTCCCGACCTGTGCTGCCAGGCCACACTAGCTTCTACCCCATTCAGAAGGAAGTGTGGTGGAAAGGCAATCTTACCCGGACACCAAGCTCCTCACTTAAGTTCGTGAATAAATATTCATAGCCATAAGCTGCTTTGCAGTTCAACCAGACCACATGATAGAGACTCAGAGTGATCCAGCTGCGCACCAGCTCTAAGATGCCCTTCATACATTCCTCCTATTAGAAAAAGAGGGGGTAAAAAGAGTGAAAATACTTGTTGCTTGATGTCAAGCAACAAGAAGTACCGTGGATCACAGGAGAACTGATTTAACCCAGAACTGACATATGACATCATCTGCTAATCTGTGGAGGGGATGGCCCAAACGGTGTCTGCACACTTTAATATCCACTGCTTGGAAGAAGGCAGGTGTTCCTAGCTGGGTACAACAATGTGTGGCAACAAAACCCTGCGATTGCTCTATACCAGAACCTCATTTCTCTCTAGCAGGAGTTCAGCTGGCACATGCTTATCCCTTCCATCTGCAGCCATTCCACCAGACAGGTATCCAGTATGCTGAGAAAGGTATTTTGTCGCCCCAAGCAAGCTACATTCATCGCCTTTTGAATCTGGCTGGTAGCAGCAGGGACCCAGGAGGCGATACCAGTTGCCTCCCACGTGGCTGGGCATGAGCAGAGCCCTTGTAATACATACATCCCCCCCTCATGAGGCTGTACCAAGCAGCTGCTGGAGGGGGGCTTAGCTGGAGAACTAACCCTGCCAGTTGACCCATTTTTGTTCAAGTTTCAGGGCTTTCTTTTGTGCATCCACACAAATCTCCAAGATAGAACTACTTTTTAAAAAATGAGCAAACTGATCAACCTTACACATCAGAATTTCATGGAGCTTCCTAACATTGCCACCAAGACATCAGTCTCTCTAGCGCAATATGACCTGTGAGTGGCAGAAATTTTATTTACTTAATTTATACCCCACTCTTCTTCCCAGCGGGGGAAGAAGTGGCTCACAAGATGCTCCCTTCCTCCATTTCATCCTAACAGCCACCCTGTGAAGGAGGTTAGGCTGAGAGTGAGTGATGCACCCAAGGTCACCCAGCAAGCTTCTATGGCAGAGTGTCTCCCAGACGCTAGTCCAACACTTAAACCATTACACCACACTGGTTCTCTGGGTTCTCAGAACGAAGCTTGCTATCAAAGATTCCCCCCCACCCGCCCAAGCTGGAGATGCTAGAGAATGAAGCTAGGACCTTTGAAATACAAAACATCTGTTCTACTGCTGAGTTCTGAACTACAGTAGTAATGGCTAGGAATACTTTTTATATGTACAATGGCCTACAAACAAGACTAATAAGCAAGCCTGACCTGTCAAACCACGCTGTAGACAAAACTGAACAGTCCAGTGGCACCTAAAAACCAACAAAATTTATTCCAGCATAAGCTTTCATGAGTCAGAGGGAAAGTGAGTTCTGAGGCACAAAAGCTTAAGCTGGTATAAATTTTGTTCATCTTTAAAGGGCATGGGCCACTGGTCTCCGGCTTCATTCTGCTGCAGCGGTGTAATACGACTGCCCTTTGGAACTGCAGGCAAGCCAAATGTCCAAGAGACAGTGTTTCAGGAATCATTCAGAAAAGTGAAAATATGGATGTCAGAAATGCCAGCCGGAATTCTCACAAGCTAGCAACAAGAATTTTAACTTCTTTTCCACTTACCCTGCTTGGTATCTGATAAAATTTGGGATCGCAGAAAGTGGTATCTAAATACACGCTCTGGATGTCTTTCACTCTGAAAGAAAGAATTTTGATACCGCTATAGCTGTGGTGGCTCAAGTGGTTAAGACGCTGAACTGCAGGCTGTAGAAGGTCGGTAGTTCAGCAGTTCGAGACCCGGGTGCCGCATGATGGAGTGAGCTCCCATCTCTAGTTCCAGCTCCTGCCAACCTAGCAGTTCGAAAGCAAGAAATTGCAAGTAGATAAATAGGTACCACTTCGGTGGGAAGGTAACAGCGTTCTGTGCGCCTTGGTGTTTAGTCATGCTGGCCACATGACCACGGAAACGTCTTTGGACAGCGCTGGCTCTTCGGCTTTGAAACGGAGATGAGCACCGCAACCCTAGAGTCGGATTCGACTGGCTTTCGAGCAAGGGAACCTTTACCTTTACCTTTATAGCCCTACCAGCTGCAGGCAAGTCAAGATTTTGAAGGGAAATCAAAAGAGTAAGTTGAAAGGAATGACAGATGTCTTTGTATCAAGTAGACTTGGAGAGTTTGTTCTATTGTGGCGATGATCCCATATGAAGACACCTGCTTGTTCTTCTCTTTTTATGGTTCTGAGCGAAACAATGTTGTGCAATTTACATAGTTCCAGGTCACAGACTCTGTGCATCCAGCAGAAGAAGGACTGAGGGCACGTTTTGTCCCCTGGGACTGGGGCAAGCCATCCATTTTCTCACAAGAAGAAGAAGAGGAAGGGAAGAGATTGGATTTATACCCCACCCTTCACTTGGAGTCTCCGAGCGGCTTACAAACTCCTTCCCCTTCCCCTCCCCACAACGAACACCCTGTGAGGTAGGTGGGGCTGAGAGAGCTTTGAGAGAACAGTCCTTGAGAGAACAGCTCTGACAGAACTATGGCTTGCCCAAGGTCATCCAGCAGTTGCAAGTGGAGGACTGGGGAACCAAATCTGGTTCTCCCATATTAGAGTCCACGCACTTAACCATTACACCAAAAACTGACTCTCAAGTGTCAGCAGGACCAGAAATGAACAGCGATGTTTCAGGGTGACGTCACAAGGTTGGTGAGCTCATCCAAGCCACCCAAAAAGGTCTGTATAACATGGACCATTGTGGTGGGAGGCAGGCAGGCGGCAAGCAACTGCCCCCCTCGGCAATACATCCACCAACAAACCAGGCCTGGTAGCAGATGAGTTTTTCAGCTTCCCCCCCCCCCCCCCCCCCAACAGTGCCACAGACTGCCAAGGATGCTCTGGGAAAGTTCCTCGAATAGGATAATATCCCACACCCAGGAAACAGAAAGAATGGTGAAGCATCTTAAAACCCAAGCCTTCTTCCCAACAGGAAGAGCCACCCAATCTGTAAGGGTTCAGCTGCATGATGGGCTATGGCAGCAGTCTTTGACACAGAAGTCCAGATGCTCAGGTAGGATGCAGAACCCAGCTGCTGGGTCACAGGCCTCTATCTGGTGGCCTTTGTGCCTATCTTTTGAAAACATCTGCTGTGAACGTGCAGAAAGAAAGAGGACTACAGTTCCTGCATCTCTCTGCAAGCGCGCTGACAGGAAGTCAAGTCTGCAGGGGAGAGGATTCCTCCATCACTCTGACTCTTGCCTTGTTCCTCCCTACAGGGCCCATACTGGTACTCAGTTTATGTTCCTTGTTCGCTCTGGTCTGGTGACCAGGGTGGCGAGATTGTAACTCCAGCTCCCCTTCCTGTCCTGTAACTGATGTCATACATGCCTGTGACTAAGTGGGCCCTGAGTCTGGAAAGGCTGAAGACCACTGGAGTAAGGGGCATAGTTGGGTTGAAGGTAGGCATCAAGCAGATACGGCCTGCTATGTTCGGTGCTTCCCAGCAGTGACAGCAAGTTGCCAAGCAGGCCAGAGTACCCCAAACAATCTTGTCACATGTGCTGGGAGCCACGGACTGCATGACTAGCAAAGGGGTGGCTGACTTCTCCACAGGCCCGCTAGACCCCCACATGATGTTCTTGGCTATATAACCATATATTCCATCCCTGTCACCTCCAGTGGAAAGGATTTATTCAGCTGGGCTGGGAAAGACCCAGGAAGGGGGCATTGCCAAATGCAACAGACAGCCCTGTGCTAGATGGCATTCGTCAACTATATGGACAATCCTCAAAATTGCTCTGCTGGCAGAAATTTTACCATGCAGAGCTCTGAGTACCTGCCCGTTAATAGCTGTCTACAACCAACCCCATACAGAGTTTCATAGTATGATGAAGCCACACCACAAGAATGTATGACCCTTACCTGTTCCCTGAATGCAAAAGTTCCATTCTGGCGGCTTCTCCTTTTGCAAGCCTGAAGTCCCCCGTGTACAGCACAGTGCCGTTTCCACCTTGAAACAGAAACCTGCCAATGGAAACACAGACTTCCGTTTCAGCAACTCGTCCAGTGCTCACTCAACCCAAGAGACAACTTCCAGCAGCCAGCCAGACTAACTGGGAGATCCCTCAAGAGGAAATGGAATCCACACACACACCCCTTCCAACACTCCCCTGGGCCATCAAGGTCTGACCCCACAAAGTGAGGAGCAAGGCCCTGTTCCCTCACACCATGCAAGTGGATACCTTCAGCTGGGCAAACACTCAGGAGAAGGAGCACGCAAATCCCAGACCCCAGCCGTTGACCCAAGGATCTGGAGTGAGGGGCTGGCATGCACCCCCTTAGTGCTTCACAGAGGTAAACACAGTGGAAGAATCCATTTGCTTGTAAGGACCAGAGAGAAGAGAAATGAAGAGTGAAAACTCAAGAAGGCATCATAAATTATCCACCCACACGCAAACAGACTGGGATGGGGAAGGAGAACAGGGCATAGTTAATTTTCATTTAAGGCCGCACAACAGCTTGAGTCAGCCCTGGATTCCTTTGGATACATCAGCTAAAATTCAGCTTGCTGACTCTGTGGCCCAGGCCAGAAGCTTTTAGCCCCCCACCATGGGACTGCTGGCCAGAGCCCTCAGGACTGCCGACCCAGTCAGAATCATGAGGAGACCCTGGCCATGTGAGCCAGGACAGTGTCCGTGTGTCCACGTCAGGTGCACACACTGCACACTGCAGCCCCCACAGGTCCACCTGCAAAAACAGCCAACACAAGCAACTGACAATCTCTAGGAAGCACAAGGAAAAACTTTGCAAGGGAAATTGGTATGGGAAATGCAGGAATTAATAATTTCACTGTTGCAATTAACTAAATAAGTGGCAGGGCTAGGAAGAACGCAACACCATAAAGCCCAGCCCTCTACATGCCCTCTTTCCACCTGAAGAGTCTCAGGACTACAGCAGAGAGCAGGACCCCAACCACACTCACCCTACAAAGGTGCTGGCAGAGGAAACAGCCCTGAGTGGTGCTGGTGAATTAAACTAAACTGCACACTACAGGGCAAGAGGATATAGTTGTTAATCAAAGTGATTGAGGGGGGGCAGCATCCAATAACTGGCTTCTCATCCCAAATGATGCATTGCAGGGTTGCTTCTCTGGCTTCCTCAAGGGCCCCGCAACTCCATCTACCCCCATGAAGTCCAACACAGCAGACGAGAGATCCTGAAGACTGCCAAAATAACTGCCCTGGCCACCCAGCAGAAGGTGTTCCAGTAACAGGGGTCTGACAGCAGGGGCTCACCTGTCACACTCCAAGGCCCAGTCACACAATCAAAGGGGAAATCAGAAGGCAGTCCAAGTTCTCAGCCCAGGATCAGGTTACATATTCCAAAAGCGGTCCAAGAGTCAGGTAACAAGAAGAGATACCAAGCAAGTCAGGCAATCGGTGGGGAAGTCACCAAAATGCCGACAAACTCATCCCACATGAGCTGCAGCCTCTCTGCCGCCTTATATGGGGTGTTTCCCCCTGGGTGCTGCTGGTTCCCATGTTAGGCTCTTCCCTGCAAGTTAACTCCGCTCGTCTACTCACGAGGAGTATCGGGGGCCCAGATCTTACGATGACTTATCAGTCTCTTCTAGCATTTCCTTGGCAGAGGGGAGTCTGCGCACTGCCAGGGGCGCACTCCTGCACCTGGTCCGTGCCTCAGGCCCCAACCGTTCACCTCCTCTGCCCCTGGGGTGCTTTGGAAGCAGGGTGGTGGGTCTGGTTGTGGGCAGGTCCACCCTGGGGCCTCCAGGACTGAGGTCCCTGCTGGCTCAGGATCCCTCCCAGGAATACCCTGAGACCCTGGTCTCACAGGAAGTGTCTGCTCAGGTAGGGCTTGGGGAGGGGTTGTCCTCCTCCGATCAGGAGTCATCCTCCCATGATACACCAGGGCAGTCCATGACAATAACCTTGCGGATTTATTCAAGAAGTCTGGGAGGATACAAAAGCTGAGAACACTTCCCAGTCTGCCCCCACAAAGGACCAGCTCTACTGCCAGGCATACAAGCCAGGTAAGGATGTTTCTCAGCACTACTGTAAAACTGCAAAGGAAAAAGAAGAGCAAGCAGCAGTCACGCATACCCCACCTCAGCTAAATAAATGGGGTCCAGTTTACAGGGATGTACAAATCCAGTGCACCCAAGCAGCAAGTCCTTACACCACTTACACTAGAGCCTTCCCATTCTCATATTATCGTACTAAACATACACCTGTTTTTCTTTGACATCTTTATAGAGTGTCTTGTAACTGATGGCACTCGCTATTAACTATTCGGAGGAAAGGAAAAAGCATACATGACTGATCCTGGGCAGTGGCCGGCTGGCAGCAGTGTCACCACTATGTCTTCTTTCTGGATGGGGACAAAAGAACACACACAATACAAAACGCAGTTACTAGAATCGAAGGCACACAGGCAGCCATGTTCTATAATGGTCAGAGGCATGGATTGGCACTTGGGCGACCTGGGTTCAAATCCCCACTCTGCCACGGAGTTTATTGGGTGATCTCAGGGCAGTCACTTGCTTTCAGCCTAACCTAACTCACAAGACTGCTGTGAATATAAAATTTGTGGAGGGGGGGGGTGTTGTACCATGGATGGTGGGACAGAGATGGATGGATGGGGATTTAGCAGCCCTTGCAAAGTAGAGACAGCAAGGCAGATATCCCTTCTTTGGCTCATCTAGGAAGCTTTCTTTCATCCCTTTCTTTAGCCACAGACAATGCAGAAAAGAAAACCTGAAAACCCTAAAGAGAGGTTAAAAGGGGGAAGGAGGAGCCAGCATCCAAACCCAGAACTAAAACTGGTCAGCCAGATTCCGCACCTGAGATGGCAGTTGTGGATTTATAGCCCACGCTCACGTTACTTCCACCTTCCACAATATTAAACAGCCAAACAGAATAGACTACTGAAAGTCAGAGTGGTGTACTGCTCAGTATCAGACTAAGATCTGGGAGACCCAGGGTTGAATCCCCACTCTGCCGCAGAAGCTTGCTGGGTGAACTTGGGCCAGTTACACACCATCAGCCAAACCTACCTCACAGGGTTGTGCTGTGAGGATACAACGGACAAAGGGAAAACGTCTTAAGCCACTTTGAGTCCCCACAGAAAAAAAAGATTGGGGTATAAATGAAATAATTTAATAATAAAATGACAAATACCTCACCAGAAGCTTCCTCAACAAGAGAAATCTGAGTCGGTGTTTCAACTTCCAGAGAAACCTGTGTTGGAGAGAAATGAGAAAAAACAAAGTCTGTTCTTAGAAAGACAAAAGCCACATTTAAGGTGAAGGGAATGATCTGTTTTATGGCTCCACATGCTAAAAGTAGGACTTAAATGGCATCAATGTGCACCTAAGAGAAGTCCATGGCTTATCAGTGAAAATAACTGAGTGGAACCAGATCACACAATTTCATTCAGAAAGAGAGGTTTATACCATGGTCCAGTGCTCCCTCTAAGCTGTGGAGTCTTGTGAGCAGAAATTCTACTTTGTGAGCTCCTGGCATTAAAGTTGTGAGAGGGCGATTTGGCTACTGCATCAATCCGTTTGCTCTGGAGCCATCCTTCCTGAGCTGAGACAAAAATGTGTGAGCCGGAGGCTAAAAAACTGTGAGCTAGCTCACACCAACTCAGCTTACAGGGAACACTGCCGTCGTCCCTCCTTTCCCAATCACATACTTTTCCTTGCAGCCCTCAGGAATGCATCACAAAAGCTGTACTGAAACTACTGGAGCCTCTGTCCAGCAATCAGCAGAAGAAACACAGACAAGTCACAGACACTGTTCCCTCTAAGCCGAGTTAGTGTGAGCTAGCTCACAGTTTTTTAGCTTCCGGCTCACACATTTTTGTCTTCGCTCAGGAAGGGATGACTCCAGAGCAAACTAATTTATGCGGTAGCCAAATCTGTCGCTCACAACTTTAATGCCAGGAGCTCACAAAGTACAATTTTTGCTCACAAGACTCCACAGCTTAGAGGGAACATTGGTCACAGATGGGACGGTGTTGGGAGTTTCCTTCTGCATTAAGAACCATTCCATGTCTTTGGGCCCCTGAAAGGGCAGGGAGAAGAATGGGAATGACCATAAAGCTCAAGGGTTCAACGCAAGGGAGCCCCTCAAAAATCAGAGACACACACACACTCTCTCTCTCTGCAGCTCATTTTACATTATGATAACATGGGCTAATGGATGATGTGAATCTTCTCTAAGACACGGTAGAGCTAGCTGCAACCAATATGCCTGCCAGAATGAACAGAGGAGGTCAACTTACAATGTGGTTCTCCCAAAATTTATATTTTGGATTAGTCAGTAGTAATTCCCTTGTCACAGGAGAACAGTACAAACAAACTTTCAGGCTGCAAAGACAGAGTAAAAGAAATGAGAACAGCTTAAAAAGCAAACCTTGGACAATTGTGGGGGAGAGGGGGAGAGGCCAAAACCCTTACTGGGTATACTCAAGCCCATTTAGATCCCCCAAATGTGTGACCACACAATCTGTGACCATTGGAGTTCCAAATGTCAGCACTCTCCTTGTTAGGTCCCATTTTTAATTCTTATTCCTTCACTTAGCACAGAATTTGCCTGCCTCCTCCTCCTCCACACTTACCATTCCATAATATCTTAGACGGCTCTCCAAAATCCACAATAATTAAGCATACCAGACTCTGTAATGGCAATCTTATCTCACAATCAATGTATATAAGTCAGAAATGCCCCCAGTCCCTAAGGAAAATACCTAATTCTACATAAATGTCAAGATATTCGGTTGCAAAACTGGGAAATCTGAATATACAATTTGCTGTTTAAGATAGTACTATAGTACATTCATCTATCAGGTGCGCAGTGTATAAGGATATACACTGCACTACAATTCTTTCCAAGCAAATCTGATGTGGGTCCCCTCCTTTTCTGGCAACAGAATAAAGTTTGCAGGAATCTCTATTCATATTGACCGAAGTTATAAGCTGTTAAATAAGTTGTGGGACTGTTGGTTTTGGAGAAGAATCTGATCCAAACGGCAATTCATAATGAATAAACAAATGCTGGAAAACTACAAGAGCAAGGGGAGAGAAAAGCAATACAGATGGCCTTTTTCTTCCTATAATCATAAGAAATGTAATTTCTAGTGCATACTGCATTAGCTGCTAGTAACTCTCCTTTGGCAATAGTTGGCAGAAGTCCTTTACCTGCATGCTAGCCTTCTTTTCATTGCAGGAGCTCTGAGCCCTTTCATGTGATCTAAAACATTTGATTAAAAAAAGAGATCTTCATTAGAAAACCATCATACACTGAAGATTCTGCAATCTTGTGGCTCAACAAGAACTCACTCAGTAAAAACAGATACCAGCACCTGTTTAAAGCTTAACAGGACCCACACACAAGTGGTTTCATGTATTGATATGCTGATTGTAGAGGACTTAATAACCTACAAGGAACAATAGATACTTGAATACACAAACTTTTAAGTCACCCAGAAATCCTTGCCAACATTATGCTATCAAAAATGATAATCATAGGAAAGCAGTTTCTTTCTGAAATTTGGAAGCCTATGTATTCCCAAGGCTTGAAATAAGCAATATTTCTTTAACTTGCCTTTCTCCTCAAAAGACTCAAGGCAAGTTGCAGTGTCAAAGTACAGCCAAAATACAAAATAATTAAAATCAGCACTTGAAATGAGTGGGCTTAGACTGAAGCAACTCTACACAGAATCACACAAAGACACCCAGAGCTATTAATATAGAAAGACTTTTCTAAACAATTTCGCCTCACAGTGGTGCCAGAATTAAAGCAGTTCAGTTTATATTCAGTTGTAAACTGAACTCATTCTGCCTTCTCCAATAAGAGAAAAGCCATATTTTAAGTTAGCCTGGGGAACTCTCCACTCTCCAAGGTGGAGTCCCTTCCTACAAACCAAAGCACACAAGCCCCTTTTTGAGGCTGCTAATTAAGAAAGAGATTTTTAAATTTATTATGACATTTTAACCCCTAATGAAGACTCAACATGGGTTACAGGGCTATATAAAAACAACATCACTCGGATACCAACATCAGAATTCGTTGCAGGGGCTGAACCCACTATACAAACTATCAAGAACACATACGCCAAAATACTTCAGCCTTGAAGTGCCTCTGGAAAAAAGGTGGTGGCCTTCTGGACACAACTTAGGTAGGCAATCCCACCAGGGATAAAGTGGCCATCCCCTTCATTGCTGAAACAGACAATGGTGGCTCTGTTCAAAGGAAGGCCATAAACAACAGATTTATTTTCATCTTTAGGCATAAAACATGGCAAAAGCATCATGGGTCCAGTGCTGTCACTGCCTTAGGGGACAGGCTGAGGTGAGCAGAGCAATCCTGAGCCATGCCTGCACCATGGCAACGCTAGCCTATTCCCTAAGGGCATCTGTTGCACGGAGGCCAGCAGACAAAGTTGTTGGGTTTGCAGTGTTTTCTGTTCGTAACCAGGCTAGTGTTGCTAGCCACCACACCATGACGGTCAGTGGAGGCGTTGTGTGGAGGCAGCAGTCCAGCATCCATCTCAGGCAGGGGGGTGGGCCACAGGCATTCCGCTCATTTTCAGGAACACCTCTGCCCCCAACCCAGCCTCCTTAAAGGGACCAACTCCTGTCAACAGTTCCAGGCACCTTATAGTGGGGGAAGGGTTCAAGCTGTCCATTGCCTAGAGCAGTCCTGCACCACCCCTGCCAGGGTGGAGCAGGAGAGGAGCCACCGGGGTGGGCTCAGATGTGGGGGCATGCAGCACCACCCTCATATCCCCCCATTCCCTCCTTGGTGGAGCAGGTGGTCTTGGATTGGAATGACTGCCATTCCACTCTGGGCTCTGTCATTCCTGTTCCAGAGCAACCAGTGCCCAGAGACTGTCATTCCAAATCCATTCCGCATTCATCATTCCTTCCATGTGTAGTGATGTAGTTGTGACAACCTGCGATGGAAACCATGCAAGTCATTTGCTGTTCCTGCAGGCCAGTATGTCCAATGGGCATACACCCACAAACCCCACTCCCCTTCAAATACATCACGCCTGCCCACCGTGTTGGTGACCCCCCGCCATTGACTCTGGGACCCCTGTGATCCCTTGCCCCCTCAGTGTTACCATCACAGATGTGTTCCCCCTGGTTGTCAGAACCGCCCCCCCCCCCCTCGGAGCAGACACACAGTTATGAACTGTGTTCATTCACTCAACTGATTTCAAACCTTTCTCCCGAGTGGCTTATATCATTCCCCTCTTCTCCATTTCACACTCACAATAACCCTGTGAGGTTGGTTAGGCTGAGGGTGTGCATGTGGGCCAAGGCCACTCACCCAGCTTCCATTTTACAAGTGGGGAACAGATTCTGGGTCTCCCAGATCTAGTCTCATGTTGTAACCAATACACCAAACTCGCTCAGTCACTCAGACCACCCTCTGGCTCCTCCCTTCACACAGAAGCCTGTGAGGGGAGGGAGGGAACCTGTCCATGCCGCTGGGCCCATGCTATGTTTGGCAGATGACTATGCTGGAGAAACAAATGGCTGCACCAATAGGAAGGGGAAAAAAGAAAAAGCAGGTGCAAGGTGAAAGTATTTATTAGATCTTTATAGATCCCTACGCATTTTGCAGTAAAGCTTTTGGGGATCTTCTACAGCAGGTATGTCCAACAGGTAGATCGCAATCTACCAGTAGATCGCGGAGGGGTCAGAGGTAGATCACCAGCCCCACTTGGTCTCCTGGTTTGCTTATCAGTAAATGACAGAAGGTGCATTATAAAGGGGGGGGGGGGCGGTGGAACACAACTTTAGTGGGTTAAAATCTAATTTGAAACGAATTTGAAACTTTATTTTCATGGTGGTAGATCACCGGCACTTTTGGCAGGAAAAAATAGATCACTACCTGTTCGAAGTTGGACATGCCTGTTCTACAGGGTTTTTCCAATTCCACCTTGAGCGATGAGGATATATAAAGCTCTAATGAATACTTTCACTTTGCACCTGCTTTTTTCTTCTTTTCCTGGCAGATCACTAGTGGGACCTGCACAACCAGTTTGGTGTAGTGGTTAGGAGTGGCGAACTCTAATCTGGAGAACTGGGATTGATTTCCTACTCCTCTACATGCAGCCAGCTGGGTGACCTTGGGTCGGTCACAGTTCTCTCAGAGCTGTTCACTCAAGAGCAGTTCTCGAAAGAGCTCTCAGCCCCACCTACCTCACAGGGTATCTGTTGTGGGGAGAGGAAGGGAAAGGAGATTGTAAACCACTCTGAGGATCTGAGTGAAGGGTGGGGTATAAATCCAATCTCTTCTTTGTCTTCACCTGTCCTATGTTGAAGTGCTAACATATTGCTGGCCATCCAGCCACAGTAGTACTTGCAGCTGCTGCTCGAAGTTCTGATTCTGCAAGGAAATGATTTAAAGGACTGCATGACAAGCTGACTTACCAAGTATGGTGGAGCAGCTGACAGACATGCCCTGTGCTCTGCGAGGGGGGGAACCAGGCAAATGACAGAGCATTCCCCTCCCCCACATCTCCCAGGAATGTTTTCCCCATGGCATGTCGGGGGCCACAAACCTACATGGCCATGGCTTGTGCTGTCCCTGCACGAACTCAAGGCTGGGCTTGAGTGCAGGAGATGCTGCCGTGGCAACCAGCCTCAAGCGAGGGAAGTGGGAGAGCCGGCTTGGGATCCTTGCCCTTGCTCACCCCTTTGGAAGGGTTCTGAAATGGGAGAGGCCAGCCATGGAGTAAGGACTTGGCTCTCCTCCTTGGGTGTCAAGGTAAAGTGCTCCCACTGTAGTGCTAAGTGCCATCTCTGCGCTTTTTCCACTACCAAAGCACCTCACCGCTTGCTCTAAGTCCACATGGCAGGGAGCATCGAGACAGAGTCCCGTGCTGTGCACCCTAACTACTGAGTTCTGAGATGTCCTGGAATAAGTTTGTGTGGGGGGGGGGCGTGATTGGGTCATGGGGAGAGGGCTTGGCCGCGGCATGGAGAGTGATGATTGGTTGAGCCTGTAGTTGGCATCCTGGGCTCCTCCAAGCCTAATTGTTGAGGCCACCATGGCAGAGGGAAGACTTGATTTTCACATTCAGTGGGCACCTATGAGATCTGCCATGTTTTTTTGCTGGCGTAACTCTCTGCCTCCCAGGCCGAAAGGGCTCAGGAAGCCACCTAACTCTGGCCACGCACCCAATTCTGCCCATGACCATGCTGGTGCAGGGGCCTACACCTTGGCCATGCCAATGGACTGCTGCTGGTGCCCATGTGTGACAGAGTGGCGCTGAGGGCCTGTGCCACCATAAGTGGCCCTTATGCTGGCATATTATGGATTTACGCCGATGCACAGGTCAGCTGGCTTCCTGAGCACTTCCCCCCCTTAGGATTGCACTGTCAATGGCAGAATATCTCCACTGCATGTAAAAGCTCCCAGGTTCAGTTCCCAGCACCTCCAGTTAAAAAGATCAGGTAGGAGGCAATGTGAAAAATTTCTAACAGAGGCTCGCTGACAGTCAAAGTAGACAGAACTGACTTTGAGAGACAAGGACCTGATTTAGCATCATGCAGTTTATCTACGGAAGGTCTGCAGCTTGATGGTAAAGCCCTAGCTTTGCATTTAGTTGCTTCATTTATACTCCACCTTTCTACTCAAGGGAGACCGGAAGCCGCTTACATAGTTCTCTTCTCTTCCATTTTTATCTTGACAACAACCTTGTGAGGTAGGTGAGGTTTAGAGAGTGTGACTGACCCAAGCTCACCCAGGTGGCTTCCACGGCAGAGTAGGGATCTGAATCTTCAGAAAGTCCAAATATCAACTGCCAGCACCTTTAGTTAAAAGGAAGGGCAGGTATAGGTCTGGAAAATTCCTTTTCAGCAAATGTTACTACTTGCATCGCACCAGCTGCAGATTTTGAGAGCAAGAATTAGATTTCACATTTAGATAGAGAAATCAGTCTTTAAAGTGCAAAAAAGGTAAAAGGCATATTAAATCCAATCACTCGGTCTCCATTGGCAAGGTGCGCCTGTCCACAAAGCCACTTCCCACAAATAAACAGAGTCCACACCATAAAATGTTGTGAATACAGAAGAAACACAATGGTAGGTGCTAAGGCTCAGAGCATCTACTTTGTATACAGAAGGTCCCAGGTTCATTCCCCAGTATCTCCAATAAGGTGATGTGAAAGATCTGGAGAGCTGCTGCTCATCCAAGCAGACAATCCTGAGCTTGTGCTTAATGATACAAGTGGCCTGGGCTCAGTATAAGGCAGCTTCACTTATTTGTACAGCAAGCAACCGTTAATAACAACACAGAAGAAGCCACGTGCACCAGGTGCAATAATAATAATAATTGTATGGCAGTGTATACAGTATAGCCATAGAGTTGACAACCTCCAGGCAATGGCTGGCGATCTCCTCGGACTACAAATGATCTCCAAGAGAAAGAGAGCAGTTCACCTGAAGAAAATGGCCACTTTGGAAGGCGGACTCTGGCATTATATCCTGTTGCTGTCCCTCCCCTCCCCAAACTCTGCCCACCCGAGGCTCTGCCCCCCCCAAATCTCCTGGTATTTCCAGACCCAGAGCTAGTAAACCCTATATAGCTAGGAGATCCTAAGACTGTCTGGCAGCCCGAAGTTCTAACTGTTTTAACATTATGCACCACTAGGTAGCAAGCTAGACTTATTTTTAAGGCCAGAAACGTTTCAGAGATGGTCTGCCATTGTCCCGCCCTGACATTCTTTGGAGCTCGCCCTTCCAAATATTAGGCAAGGCCGACCCTGCTTAGCTTCCGAAATAGGGCTAGCCTGGCCTATCCAGGTCAGGGCTGCTCCAGCTGCGCTGTTACCCTACAAGCAGCGGGGGGGGGGAGAGACGGGACAGGGCCACGCGGACTAAAAAAGGCCAGGGGCGGGTCTCACCCTTGTGGCAATGGGACAGGAAGTAAGCCCGGGCTCGGAGGTTGTCTCGATCGAATCGGTCTATAGAGACCGACGGGTACTCCCGCATCCTTCCCCCGAAGCTGCTCATGTCTCTGTCTAGCGACCGAGACGCTTCCCGCGCCCGCACGCCTCTCACTTCCGCCCTACTCTTTCCGCCTCACCCCCATTGGCCGAGCCCAGCCCAATCACCGAAGGGCACTCGGTTCCTCAAGCCTGACGTCATCCCGCGAGCGACCGCCACAGGTTCAAGCAGGAGTCAGCTGACCGCACGCGGCGGTTATAAAGAAAAGCCGGCTAATGATTATTTTTATAAATAAGGAAAAGAACGGCAAATATTCCTATAGCAGCAGCGTCTCTACACGTGACCTTTGACCTTTCTTTTACAGTCCCTCGCTCTACTGTTGCTGCCGGGTAAACAGGCAGGTAAATCCGGGGGGCGGGGGCGGGCTGGGACTGTGTGCGAGCAGTTAGTTTTCTATTGGTCACTTTGGACCGCGCCTTCTCAAACGCATCTGCTTGATTTGCCATTTTACGCAGCGCCCACCCGCAAAGTGGCTCTCATTGGTTGGAATGAGATAGTGGAAAGGACGCTAGCGGTTGCTAGGCTGCCTCGTAATCGCCTCGTTTTTAAAAAGAGGGACGTGGCGTGAGGTGCGAGTGAAGAAGCCGTTTTGAGGGCTTTTTCTCAGTTGGGGGAGGCCTTTTAGAAGCCGTAAATAGCTACGGAGGGAACAGTGACGGTGGCAAAACAGGCAAAAATTAAGAGCCCTGCGTCTGTCTCGCTCTGAGGGAGAAATATAATAAGTGTCCCCAAACCGGCCTACCCCGCCCCTTAGAATCCAAGCACCGCCGCTTCTGTCACTCCGCCGCTGGCGATAGGTGCAGGAGGAAGGGGGAGATTTGGGGCTGGGCTAGCTTTGTAGTGAGGTTATTGCTGGGCTTGATTCTTTGTATGAATTTTGGTAGATTACTTCTTTCTTTAAACGGTACACAGTGTGCCACCTTCCTTCTTAGCGGCAAGTCTCTGCTTGCGAAAGGAAAATAAGAATCTAGACCTACATCTTAAGTATTAAGGAAATTTCAAGAAAGTTGAGTTATACTGAAATGAGATGTTGTTTAAGGTACCATTGGGCTACCTACCAGTCCTGTGCTATTTCTATTAGAACTGAGGAACAAATTTAAGTAGTAATGTACAATTATCAACTTTTTTTAAAAAAGCACAGAGTCTCATTTGATTATGTTTTTAAAATGAAATTTGCTTTCAAGTTAAACCTTAAGTGTGAACTCATGATGAAGTGCGTCACTTCAGATCTGCACAAGTTAACAAAAAGGGTGTCTTGTGACATGTTAAAGACAAACACATTTATTGTGCTAGCCTTTAAGGAACCAAAAGGTTATTTTTGTTTGGTTTTTGCTGCAGCAAACTAACAGGGCTTGTGCTTTTGCCTTCGTTTCTCTCATTTCTGGTTTAATGTTTCCTATTCCTGCTTCTTTCTCCAACTTCTGCATGATGTACTCATGTATCAAAATATAGTTTTCAATACACACTGGTTGTTGATATTGCTTTTCAGGTGGTTCCTGTCTCCTTAGCACTTGTTCAAAGCAACAGGAAGTATTAAGTGAGAGAAATAGGGTTGCCAGGTCTGGGTTGGAAAATACCTGAAGACTTTGGGGGTGGATCCAGGAGAGGACGGGATTCAGGGAGGGGCCTCAGCATGGTACAATGCCATAGAGTAGCCATTTTCTCCAGGGGAACTGATCTCTGTCAAATGGAGATCAGTTGCAAAAGCGGGAGATCTCCAGGCCCCACCTAAGGGCTGGCAACTCTAGAGAGAAAAGGAAATACCGACAACATGGCACATATTTGCATCACATTGTGTGATGATGACGTATTTTAAATATCAAATTAAGAACCAAAAGGTTAAGGAAATCAAAATGTAAGGGCCCAAGAGTTCTGTGCCAAAGTTTAAAACATACAAAAATATACATGTATTTGTTACAAATTCAACAAAAACAAATATAGGCTCAAGTAATAACCTCAATTTAGACAAAAATAGGCTGCGGTCACATGGAGCAGTAGCCACGCTACTGCGATGGAAGATAGGCAGATTCTCCGGGCGCGATCTAACCGCCACATCTGGGAAGTGTAGAGCTCCCGTGGCGAACCCAAGGCTTCCCTCCGAAGATGCGCAGTTAAAAACTAGTACCTCGGTTTGAAAGCAAGAAATTGCAAGTAGATAAATAGGTACCACTTCGGTGGGAAGGTCACAGCGTTCCGTGCGCCTTGGCGTTTAGTCATGCTGGCCACATGACCACGGAAACGTCTTCGGACAACGCTGGCTTTTTGGCTTTGAAACGGAGATGAGCACCACAACCCTAGAGTCGGATTTGACTGGCTTTACAAAAATGTTTTTACTCCCCCCCCCCCAAGTCTCCAGGGATGTGCACAAGCACCCCACGGGGCATGCGCATACTTCAGGTAAAAAAAACCCCCACACAGCCCCGTTTGCCGTGCTGCGCCGCTTCTTTGGCGCGTCATGTGATTGGCACTTCCCCCCTAACCACGGGACCTCAACGGGACCGCAAGGGGACGCCTGATCGCACAGTCGCGCGTTATTTCACTGCGGGGCAAACAGCCACGCCTCCCCCCCACGATATCCGGCCCGTGTGCCCGGGGCCATAATAGATTAATCCCAAAGAGGGACCATTACTGACCCAGACCTAATAATAATAATAATAATAATACTTTCCATTTATTAATCGCTTTCCCCAGTGGGCTCAAAGCAATGTACAGTTACTCAATATAGACAAGGGACTAACAATGTTTGTACGGGATAGGGAAGACAACATATATTCATTTTAATTGCACGCGCCGTCACTGCCCGGTGTAGACGTCTTCTGGCTGGCTCCGTCATTTTCCCGCACGGCTGCTTGCTGGCCAGGCTTCAGGACCCCATGTCAATCGCCACATTGCCACCGCCTGGCCAGAACATCCATTGCAGGAGTTATTTTCGTAGCTGAGAAGCTGTTTCGCCTTACAAGCCTTGAGCAGGACCTCCGACCGCCAGCTAACGCCCTCCCACAAGGGAGATTGGCGTGCCCACCCTCTCTAAGGAGTGGTTCCCATTTTATCTACTCGCCGAAGCTTTCGAATCGCTGGGTGGACGATGAGCTGGGGAAAACAGGCTGGCTGCTCACACCAGCGTGGGGCTTGAACTAACACAGTTCAGATGTTAAGACAGTGGGATATACCCACTGTGCCACCGCTCCCCAATTGGATTTCTTCAGTGGTCAAATGATATTGTTACAAAATACCTCCAAAACAGATCCAAAAATTTTGGATGCAGTCTGGAGCCAATAGTAATGTCATAGTCCCACCAGGTGCCGAGCCAGTTTGGTGTAGCGGTTAAATGTGTGGACTCTAATCTCCTCCACTTGCACCTGCTGGATGACCTTGGGCAAGCCATAGTTCTGGCACAGCTGTTCTTGAAAAAGAGCAGTTCCTGTCCTCTCTCAGCCCCACCTACCTCACAGGGTGTCTGTTGTGGGGAGGGGAAGGGAAAGGAGTTTGTAAGCTGCTCTGAGGCTCCTTTGGGTAGTGAAGGGCGGGGTATAAATCCAATTTCTTCTCTGCTAGTCAAAAAAATTTTGGATGCAGTCTGGAGCCAATAGTAATGTAATCGTGGCACTATTACATTACTCTTGGCTCCAGACCACATCCAAAAATTTTTGGACTAGGAGAGAAAGGTACCTAATTGAACCATTATTCAAGGAAAGTGTACCTGACTATGGCGGCATGTTATCCAAAATGAGGCCTCTTATTTACATCTCTGCCTTAGGTCACAGATATTGATTATAAAACAATCTCACCTTGGACTGAGTTTAAGAAATGACTGTATTATTGTAAAATCTGGAGCTATTTTCTAACAATATTGTTTAACAAATGAGGAAGGCCAATTGGCTGAAACGGGTTTGGTCAGGGTCAGTAATGGTCCATCTTTGAGATTGATACATGATTTTATTCTGAACTGAGGTTATTACTTAGGTCTATATTTGAGAGCCAATTTGGTGTAGTGGTTAAGACTCTAATCTGGAGAACTGGGTTTGATTCCCCATTCCACTACATGAAGCCAGCTGGGTGACCTTGGGTCAGTCACAGTTCTCTCAGAGCTCTCTCAGCCCCACATATTTCACAGGGTGTCTGTTGTGGGGAGAGGAAGGGAAGGCGATTGTAAGCCACTCTAAGACTCCTTCAGGTAGTAAAGAGAAGGGTATAAAAATCAATTCTTTTATTTATTTTTATTGTATTTTTAATAAATACATGTATATTTTTGTATATCATAATATTTATGTTTTAAGTTTAGACACAGAATTATTGGGCCCTTATATTTAGATTTCCTTAACCTTTTGGTTGTTAATTCAATTCATTTTGGGTTAATCCCCCCCCTTTGTCTTTTGTTATAGTTTAAATATCACATAACCTTGACAATGCAACTTTTTCCTAAATGTGACTGTTGCTCAAATCTGCTTTGTTTTCTAACTAGGAATTTCTGTGTATTCACATCTGGAGTTCAATTTTAGCAGTGTGGCTTTTGTTAATATTGGCTATACAGACCTGATTCCATAATCTCTCTTCAAAGTAAGCATTCAAACTCATTATTTTAATATAAGTTTTAATGTAACCACTGAAGCATGTCACTTTTTCTTTCCTCTGGCGGTGTTTTTCACCATGCCTAGAAAACTTCTAGATTATCAGCTGGGTCATCCTTTCTGTGCAGCAGTTTTCAAGTCCGCTGTCTTCCTCCAGCTGATGCAAGAGCAGGTTCTGAAATTACCTGTGTTCCTTCACTGACACATTCTGACAGACTTCATCATCTCAGGGGAGTACAAAACTTCTCACTGGGTATAACCACTGTCAGCAGCAAGTCTGAAAAAATCTTCTGCTAGATGGACTTGCACATCTAGCATTCTGTATTTGTGTTGCTGTTAAGAGGCTCAGCATACTCCCATTTCACATTTACTGGCTCGCACAGGGATGAACTATTGCACTTTCACAATTATGAGTTGTTATGCTCAAGAAACGATGCAC